TGGCTCCCCGCAGCCACCTGTACTTCTGACCAACCAGCTATAGACTAGGAGTTCCCATGACTCCATCTTCAAGTTTGATGATTTGCTAGAGTGAATCACAGAACTCAGAGAAACACTTTGCTTGCATTCACTGATTTATTATCAAGGATATAATTTAGAACCTCCAGATGGAAGAGATGTCTAGGATGCATGGGCGAAATATGGCAGGGAGGAGTGGTGTGGAGCATCCGTGCCCTGTCTGGGCGCACTACCCTCCCAGCACCTCAGTGTTCACCAACCAGGAAGCTCTCTGTAGTTTAGGGGATTTTGTTACATAGACATGATTGATTAGATCATTGAACATCGGTGATTGAACTCAACTTCCAGTCTCTCTCCTCTCTCCGGAGGTCAGGGGATGACACCGAATGTTCCAACAGTCTAATCACTCCTTGGTCTTTTTTGGAGACTAGCTCCTATCCTGCAGCTAAGAAAGGGGTCTCCAGCCACTAGTCACCTAATTAGCATGCAAAAGACACTCTTATCACCCCAGAGATTCCAAGGGTTCTAGGAACCATATACCAGGAACCAGGGATAAAGACCAAATATATATTATTATGCCACATACTACATACTATATGATTTCATTTATTCCATTCTGGAAAATGCAAAACTATAGGGAACAGAAATTAGATCAGTGGCTGCCAGGGGCTATAGTTAGGGGAAGGGGACTGACTGCAAAGGAGCAGAAGGGAATTATTTTGGCTGTTCACAATGTTCTATAGTAGAGTGGTAGTTTTTTGACTAAATACCTTTGTCAAAATTCATTAAACTTTACTCTCATAAAAGAGATTTGTACAGTATATCTTAATAAATGGGACTTCAAATAAAAGCTATCTCCTCCTGTCACCTTTTGCAAATCCCCTGCCCCTAAAGGATGTGACATATTTATTATGACTGATGTAAAGGAAGGAAATGAAAGTTCCATCAGCGAACACCTGGTATAAGCTGTACACAAATGTCAACTGTCCATGATAAGCACCAGCAATAGGACATGATTCAGTAGACTTTTTTCAGGTATCTTTGGTCCAAAGCTTCTGTTTATCCCTGATTTGAGCCTTAAAGTTTCTCCTCTTTGGGTCCTTCTACGCCTTTTGATTCTGGAGATTCTGCAGCTTTAGTGACTTCTTTTGGTTCCATCTTTTTGCTCTCCTTTTTCTGATTCTCCTCTGCCTTCTGTTCTTTTGCCTCAAGTCGATAATTGATGCCCATGCCGATGAAGAGATAGATACCTGAGACAATAAGGATTGTGCCACTTGCCCAGTATGTGTATTTGTAGTCTCTGTATATGTCATGGAGACGACCTAAAGATGTCAAAAAAAAAAAAGTTACATGGGTAAAGTAAACAATTTTACCCTTGCCCAAATAAAGTTTAAGGATCCACTCAAAGATCCCACAAATGACAATTTAGTACAAAAAGGAACTGCTAAAAATGATCTGATCTTTTATGACATCACACTGATTTTGGATGGCCTAGCATATTCTGTCGTTTAGCAACTTGAAAATAATTAAATCTCGGCAAATTTGAACTGAGAAATACCTAGAGATCACCTAGAATCAATTTTTTCAATATACAGTGGAAAAATTTGTTGCTCAAAAGAGGTTTGGGAGTCTTACCCAAGGCCACAGAGCGATTTCCACTCTCCCAGGACAATGCTCTTTCTCTGACATCGGTGTTTCCCAAAGAGCACTCCTGTGAGCACTCATCCTATGCTAAAATATTAACAAACAGCAATACCTTTCCACCATTCTAAGTGCTTAATATTCACTACAGGAAGATTCTATCATCATTCCCGTTGTATAACATAAAAACCAAAGTTCAGAAACCTTAAGTAACTCGTCCAAGGTCACAAAGTGACCAGGTGTGTGAAATAGATTGGCTTGAAACCCACCAGGTCTGACTCAGGCCTCCACCCACAACTCTGTGCTACAGGACACCTCCCTAATGTTTCCAAAGTCAAGCAAATTTGGAAATGACATATCATAGTCTTTTCTATTAAAGCCTTTTATGAGGTCTGATAGTAAAGAAACTTACTTACTTTGGTGTTTCTAAACTTTTTTGGCCATGAAATCCTTGTTATAGTAAAATGTATTAGCATCTCTACAAACTAGTATTTCAAGGAATAAACTTTGGAAAACTCTACACCCATAAAGAATGTAATAACCAGTTCAAATAGGACTCCATACAGTTTTCCAGCTCAGGGCATCACTCACTCAGCAATGCTTATTGGGTCTCTATACACACACCAGGCACTGGGTCCACTAGGCCCTGAGTTAAGGGTGAGCAAAAGAGGGAACATCCATACAGTTCAGTGGAGAGGAAAAATGTTAACCCAGTAAGTGCACAGACTGTGACAAGTGCTACAGAGAAGGTCTGAGAGCAGAGAATAGGAGATTGAGGCCAGCAAGTAGGGTCAGGAGGGCTTTTCTTAAAGTGTAAATAAACTTTGCCAAGACTTACAGGAGGATAGGAGTTATCTGGGAGAAAGGAGATGGGAAAAGTATCCAGGCAGAGAAGAGCTCGTGCAGAGGCAGATGGTAGGAGAAAGCAGAGGGTGTGAGAGGGGAAGCAGAGAGAGCAGACTGAGTGGTGGGAATGAGGCTGGAGAGGTGGGTGGGCCAGGCCATGCAGAGCCTTGCGGGCCATGGTAGGGAATCTAATCTTCACCCTGAGACGTGGGAAGCAACTCGAGTGTTTCAGGAGATTAAAGAGCAGCTAGAGTGGACATGGGTGAAGTCAGAAGGCTACTGCTAGGAGCATCCCAGAGAGAAGGCAGGTTTGGGTAAGAGTGGTAGTTGTGATGTAGAAATATGGGCAGATTAGAAAGAGATTTAGGAGGTAAAACTCGACAGGACTTGGAATCTCCTTGAGTATAGGGAGGAGAGAGGGGGATAAGTTTTGAAAAGTCAGTAGTGGATCTTCTTTTATGTTGCCTTCTTACTTTATAGCGCATAATCTCAAAAGCATGAGTCACATCCGGAGGAAGCCCAAATCATTGCTGTATTTTGTATTAATGATAATTTAAAAATATAAATCATTTAGCATTCTTAAAAGAATAATACATCAAGTTTTATGGTCACTTACTAGCTGTGTGATCTTGGGCAAGTTATTTTGCTTTTAGAAGTCTCAATTCCTTTATTTATAAAGTGGGGACAGTCCTACATCACAGACTTGTAATATAGAATATAGAAAATGATTAGGACAGTCCCTGGTATACTGTAAGCCCTTACCTGGTACCTATTGTTATTATTTTAAATATTACTGCTGATATAAATTCCATAATTAAGAGAAATCACCAACAGTATTTTAAAGGTGGAGTATAATACATTTTTCTACAATAAATACATTTGGTTTCTCTATGAGAAAAAATATTTCAATAAATGCTTACGTTTGTAATAGTTTTTTATTCCCCTTTCAGCTTGATGATTCACTTTAATTTATTTCCAAAAGTATTTGAGCAATTATGCTCCATGTGTCAGCATGGAGGGTACAGAAATGAGAAAGACTAGCCCTCTGGCATCAGCAGCTCACTGATTTCTGCTTTCTATCATCTTCCAATCTTCCATACCTGTTTTATGTTAACCGAACCACAGAAATAGGGAGACATACTATACCTAAAAGCGGTGGCCCCAGGAGGATAGGACAGCATTCCACAATGGTCATCAATCCCACAGCACTGGAGAACCTCTGGGGTCCAATGAGGTCCATCAGCGTTTCAAACAATACGGAGCCAAGCCACCCAAAAGCAAATCCAAGGAATCCCGCATAGGCACAAAACCCAAGATAGCTGGAGGAGAAAGGTACTAGCATATGACACATTCCGTATACAATAATAGAAGCAGCAAAAAAATACTGAATTCGAGGTCTTACACAGTTTGTGTTGGCTACAAATCCCATAAGAGGTCTGGCTACCATGTCAACAAAAGCCAGAATAGTAAGAAGGAAGGCAGCCTTCTCATCAGAGTAATGCTGACTCTTGGCGTAATTACTAAGAAAGACTAAAGGTGTAGCCAGTGCAAAAGCCATTACCGTATTCCCAGAGAGGTACAGTAAAAAGCCTCTGTGCTTGAACAGGGATAAGTCCAGAAGTTTGCTTACTGTTTGAAAAACTGATTGTTTCTCTTTTGGGGGATTTCTGCCATTAACTTCTGTATTTGTATCACTTGCCCCCTTTTTCGCGTCAGATCTTCCAGCTTCCTGCTGGGATTCCTTAGATCTTTCTTTCCCTGCAGTGTTTGGCTTGGGCTCTACTGGTCTCATCAGGGCTCCAGCCACACAGCAGTTTAGTAGGATGCCCCCAAGAATTAGGAAGCTTCCTCTCCAGCCAAAGTGAGCAAAAAGGGTCTGGTTGAGGGGGGCCAGGGCAGAGAGGAACACAGGACTGCCTGACATGGCCAGTCCGTTTGCCAGTGGTCGCCTCTTATAGAAGTACTTGCCAATCATGGTCAGAGCTGGATTCAAGTTGAAGGCAAGCCCAAGACCTGGGGAGGAGGGGAACCACAATCACATACTGTAATAAATGTCAAAAATATATTTGGTATTAATTAATCAGGCAGAGAAACTGAATGGAAAGAGGTCAAAATCATCAGAGGCTATTATAACCAGTAGATCATTACGTGGACAGTTATCAAATAAATATAGACATAAAGTCTCTTTTTGCAGTAAATACTAGGTTTATAATATAAAAATTTATATTATGAAAAAGAACTTTTTACTTTAGCAACAAAAACACAATAAATCTAAGATCCTTTGTCTAATTTCATATCTTTTGCTTTCCTGAGGCATAGAGAATTAAAAACAAAAAGGAGAGAAGATAAATCTTCTAAACTCAGAAAGCAAACCAGGAGGAGGAGCAGAGGGAGAGGAAGGGCAAGAGGGGGAGGGGGAAGAGAAAATATTTTTGGACAGTAAAACACAACACTGTCAAGATGCTAACAGTATCTTAGGAAAGCCATTCATTTAACGTAATGTCTATGAAAATTTCAATGTAATTTATTTTTCAAATGGGGTAAAATGACTCTAAAATACACCCAGAGAACAAATGCATTAGAAATATTGGAAAAGGATAAATAATTGGTGGCACCTACCCTAACAGATATATAAATATATTAGGACAGTGTGGCACTTGTTCAAAATTAGAAAAATTGATCAATAAAGGTGGGTGGAAAGTCCAGAATTAGAACCAAAAGATACATTTAAATTAATAGGGAAAGGATGGATTTTTCAGTCAATGGGGCTGGGACAATTAACTATCCTAATAGCCTCTTAAGTGGTCTCCCAACCTTGGTTCCCTACTAGGTAAACCAGATTTGGATGCTCACCCATTTCAATCTCTCTAATGACTGCCCATCCATAACTTTTCATTCTGGGTTAGGAGGCCCCATGATTTGGCGCTAATTTGCCTCCTTGCCCTCATCTCAGTCTATTCCTACTTGTGCTAAGTGTTAAACTGTTCCTCTAGATTTTCACAAAGCCTCCTGCTTGGTTATCATCCAGATCTCAATCACCACCTCTGAGAAGCCTTCCCTTTAGGGACCATTCAGTTCCTCTCTATCAAAATTCTCTGTTCTAAGTCTTTGCAAAGCACTCATTACTACCTGATAGTTTTCTTATTTATTCATTTATTTGTTGGTCTGTTTATTGTTTACTTCTCTCCAATGAAGAGCAGTAATCTTGCCTATCATTTTGGTCTCCCCACAGAGCTTGGACAATGCCTGGCATATAGCTAGGGACTCAATAAATGTTTGTGGACTGAATTAACAAATGGAAAAATGAACAGGCTGAATAACCATGTGGGAACAAAGTTTTAGTCCTTCCTTACTTTATTTAAATATTCCAGATGAATTAAAATATTTAAATGTTAAAAAATGTAATTAATGTGGTAAAAGGACAGATTCAAAAACATAAAACCCATTATTGGCCTTATCTCAGGTCCTGCAGGTGGGACTGTAAATTATTATAACTTTTCTAAAAGAGATATTTGGCCAATTGTATTGAAAACCTTTTCCTCTAGTAATTCCACTTCTATAAATTTATCCAAAGGAAATGATCATTTTCACAAAGACGTATACAGAAGTACTATCATACAAATACTGTTTATTAATAGTGAAAAAATATAAACAATTTAAAATGTCCTTTGATTAGATAATGGTGAAATAAATTATGGTATATCCATCTACCCCATGAAAAAATAATTGCGGCTAAAGTATATTTACTGAGATGGGGAAACAATGTACATGATGTATTAGTAAGTATAACAAAAAACTGGGTACAAACATAGTCTCATCCTTTTTTGTTCTAAAAATTCTATGTGTGCGCACAGGAAAATGAGTGGATAGGGCATCAAAATATTAATGGTAGTTTTCTTGAATCTATAGAGCTATGGGTGTCAATAATACTTATATTCAGCAGTTTTATTTTCTTAATTTAGCTATTAGAAAGGGGAGTTTCCTCAAGTGTGCCCTTTATCCCTTGAAAATGTATCTGGCTTTTCTATCAGAAAATTCCTGCTTTGACATTCTCTCTTTCTCTAATTTGAGACAATTTCTTCTTGGGCAGAAGGGGAAATGAGAGGGAATAGCTAATGACCTCCCTTTCAACAACTTTTTAACCTATCACCACTGTCTTCTTTCTTAAGATGAAAAAAGAAAGACAGAAAAGAGAAGAAAAAAGGACAAGAGAGGAAAGGAAAAAAAAATAAAAGAAGCTCTCTTTAATGTGTTTATTCAATAAAAATGCCATTAAGGGCCACAACGTTTTTTAAAGGCTCGCTTTTCTGGTTCTATTAAATTAACATATTACCAGCTCTAAAAAATAGTGATCCTGTAATTTTTCTAACAAAGAACTTTCATTTTTCAAAATAATTGGCAAATGAAAGCTACAAATAGTCCACATAAAAATTAATGATTGAAAATAACATCAGTAGCGACTCACCTACAATGACTCCGACACACCAGTAAAGTTCCTTCATGGTGTTACAGAAAGAAGCCGCAATCAAGCCACAGCCTGACAAGCAGCCGCCAATAATTATGACTGGACGACTGCCGTATTTATTCACCAGGATACTGCTGATAGGACCTAGGAGAGAACAAACAGCTTAGAACATAAAGGAGGAGCCTGGCCCCCACATCCACACCTGCACATGGCATTACTGACATGACAGGATGCCACCCCGCAAAATAAACAGATAAAACAGAAGGCAGTGGTAAGGAATACTGCTTTCTATCTTCACTTCAGAGTCACAGGTTTGTGTAATGGAAAAAATATAGTAATGCTTGTATCTTCTACATACCTAGAACATACAAGATGGATTTTAACTGAAGTATGAAAGACCATAATCCAACTCTTTGGAAGCAAAAGAGGCTGAAAATACCCTAATTATAAGTGTTTATATGATTCTTCATGTATCTAGGATATTATCCACAGAAATGGAGGATGTTTGCTCTGTGTAAAATTTTTTAAACAGTCATCTAGAGCAAACACACACGAATGACAAAATGTATGTATGAGCAGGTCTGATCAAACTTCTGACTTCAGTGCATACTTAAAAACTAGCTACAATGTATTGTTTCTCACAGAAAACCATAACAAAATCAAAACAGAACTACAAAACAAGAATGCCTACCATCACCACTTTTCTTCAACATTATACTGGAGGTCCGAGCCAGCGCAGTAAGACAGGGGGGAAAAGGTGTAAGGAAAGGAAGAAACCAAACTATCAGTATTTGCAGAAGATTAGTTTGTCTACTAAAAATTTTGAAATAAATCTACCAAAAACTATCGGGAATAACAAGAGTTTAGCAAGTTTACAGGAGATATGATTAAAATACAAATATCAACTACCTTTTTATACACCAGCAGCCAACACAAAATACATTTTTAAAGAAAGGTATCCTTTATAATGACACCTGTTCTATATTATAACTGACCTAACAGAGCACACAGTTGCTATGTAGCTTTTATTGTTAAAGGGAATGAAAAATATGACTCTAATCACATAACTCCAAGAACTCACATTTTAAATATCTCACTGATAAAGACATAGAACAAAAAGTACCTAATATGGAGCTTTTATCTACCTACTGACAGTTAAAAGAGCAGCTCTTCACGGGTACTTACCTCCAGCATACATGACAGCAAACATGATGGAAGACAACCATGACACTTCGCTGGTGCTGGCTTTAAATATTTCTTCAATTTCTTTGTAAAATACAGAAATAGATTTGCCAAATGCACAAGAGAAGCCGATGGAAATGAAAGCTCCAACAACCACTGCCCACCCCCAGCCTCCATCTGGGGGGGTGTATCCAACTGGACCGCTGCCTGATGGTGGCATTGTAAGTAAAGGTGAATTCTAAAACGCAGTTAGATTCCAGATATCTAAAGGGGATAAAATTAAAGTAGTGCAGAACAAGTAGGTCAGTAACAAAGCACTTTCAGGAAATCCCTTACACTTATGTAATGAATGAATAAGTAAATGCATATAGCAATTTTCAAAGTAAAAGACCATTTCAAACATTATTTTCTCATTTAATGGGCTGGAAAGTTAGCTCAGTAAAGTTTGCTTTTCATCCAGCTGCTTAGATTTATTTTTTTTCCTGTTATGTGACTAGAAAGATTCCCGAATGATGGCTGACCAATACAGTTTAAATCTGCAAAATGAATCCTAATATTAGAAGCTAGTAGTTCAAACCAAAGATTCCTCCTTTTCTTCTTAAGCCCCAGCATTAGTGAAAACATAGTAAGATAAAGGACGTGATTATGAATTACTAGCAGGTGGGAGAGGTTGAGAACAGGTCTACCAGTCTACTTCAGAGAAATTCAGTTCTCCTTTGATTTACTTAAACCAGCTTCTATTTTATGTCAAAATTAACCCTTCAAAAATATGTCATCATACTCATTTCTGGCCACCCTAACACTACCTGGAGTGGTATATATAGCACAGTGTTAATATTGTACAGGTCAACCATGACAATATCATTTTATTATTATATTGCTTAATCTTTAATACAAACCCTACCTTCCTACCCATAGAAGTCACTTTTAAATAGCTCACCTTCTAACTAAATACTTCAATATAGTTTAGAAAAGTGATCTTGTAGTGATTTTAAAAAACAACTTTCAAGAAAAGTTCTGCTTAAGAAGCTCAAAGACTTTTTTTTATATAAAACTATAGAAGTAAAGTTTCTAAAAGCTTTATAAAATTAAACGTTCCCAGGGTTTGCACAACATTTGTTAGATTTATGCCAAGTTAGTTTTTATTACTCTTATAGATGGTAATTTTAAAAAATCATTTTCTGTTAGTTGCTGGTGTATAAAGACAATTAATTTGTTTAAATAATAGCTTTATTGAGATATAATTCACATATCATAAAATTCACTTTTAAAGTTTACATTTCAGTGGTTTTTAGTATATTCACAAAACTGTACTGCTATCATCACTAATTTCAGAACATTTTCATCATCCCTGAAAGAAATCCTATACCCGTTAGCAGTTACATTTAGTCCTGACATTATTTTTCATGGTATTGTAAATTGAACTGTTTTCTTAATTTTACTTTTGGATCTTTCATTGCTAGTGTATAGAAATACAATTGATATTTGTATGTTAGTTTTGCAACCTGCAAACTTTCTGAACTCATTTTTTAGTTCTAATAGACTCACGCATGTTATGTGTGTGGATTCTTTAGGATTTTCTATTTATAAGACCATGTCATCAGGGATAGTTTTACATCTTCCTTTATCATCTGGCTGCTTTTATTTCTTTTCATTGCCTAATTTTGCTGGATAAAACCTCCAGTACATTGTTAAATGAATGTGGTGAAAGTGGACATCTTTGTCTTTTATCTGATCTTAGAGGGGAAGGTTTCAGTATTTTACCGTTAATTATGATGTTAGCGGTGGTTCTGTGTAGATGCCCTTTATTAGGTTTGGGAAGTTTCCCTTCCCGTTCCTAGTTGTTGAGTATTTTTTTTTTTAATTACAAAAGCTGTTGGATTTTAGCAAATGCTTTGTTAATTGTCCATTAAGATGATCTTGTGGTTTTGGGCCTTTATTCCATTCATATGGTATAGTTTGACTGATTTTTGTATGTTGAACCACTTATGAATTCCTGCACTCCTGAGATAAGTACCAGTCTGTTATGATATATAACACATTTTATATGTTGTTGAATTCTGTTTGCTCATACCTTGTTGAGGATTTTTGCATCCACATTTATAAGGGATAATGGTTTGCAGTTTTCGTCTCTTGTGATGTCTTCATCTGGTTTTGGCATCCGGATAATTCTGGCTTCAGAGAACAAGTTGGGAAATGTTCCCTCCTCTTTTGTTTTTTGGAAGAGCTTGTAAAAGAGTGGTGTTAGTTCCTTAAATGTTTCAAAGAATTCACCGATGACGTTGTCTGGGCTTTGGGTTTTCTTTGTGAGCAGTCTTTGATGATACGGCAATCTCTTCACTTGCTGTAAGTATATTTGGATCATCTCTATCTACTTGAGTCATTTGATAGTTTCTGTTTTTCTAGAAATTCATTCATTTCATTTAGGTTATCTAATTTGTTGGTGTGCAATTGTTTATAGTATTTCTTTATAATCTTTTAAAAAATTTCTGTAGGGTCAGTAGTGATATCCGAAGAGTTTAACCAACAATAATATTAGAGGGAACAGCCCCCAAAGACTAGCCTCACTTCTAACAACAACTGCAAGTTTTGAGGGGGTGGTTAGAGGTAGTGGGGTGGGTTTCCAAAACAGGTTGGGTAATTCAACAGAAGGACTCACAGAATTCACTGACGCTATTATGCTCATGACTTATTACATGGAAAGGACACAGGTTAAAATTAGCTACAGGAAGAGATGCACAGGGCAGTTTGGAAGAGGTCCAAATGTGGAGCTTCTGATCATCCTCTCCCCACAAAGTCGTGGGAAACATTACCTTCTCCCAGTCACAATGTGTGACAATAGAGAGCATCACCAACCAGGGAAGCTCACCTCAGCCTTCAGTGTCTAGAGTTTTTAGTGGGGCTTGATCACATACTGCCCACATGGCTGACTTTTAGTCTCCAGCCCCTACCAGAGGGTGGCCTAAAATCTTTAGTCTCCAGCTCTTTTAGAGATTGGACGTAAGAAGATATGGCTAATGGGCCCAGGCAAACAAAGACACTCCTCTCAGGTGGAACTTTTCAGAGACCTAGAGATCATATTCCAGTAGCCAAGGGCAAAGGCCAGACCTCTCTATTGGTGAGGTGAATTCTTCACTATACATAATGTATTCTCTTTCATTTCTGATTTTGGTAATTGAGCCTTCTCTCTCTCTCTTCTTGGTTGGTCTCGCTAAAATTTTGTCAGTTTTATTGACCTTTTCAAAGAAACTTTTGATTTTATTGGTTTTTCTCTATTGTTTTTATATTTTCTAGTTCATTTATTTCTGTTCTAATCTTTATTATTTCCTTCCTTCTATTTGCTTTGCATTTAATTTGCCTTTTTCCCCCCTAATTCCTAATGGTAAAAGTTTCAGTTATGGATTTGAGATCTTTGTTCTTTTTAAATATAGATGTATTTAGCCATAGATTTCCCTCTAAGCACTGTTCTAGCTATATTCCACAAATTTTGGTACTTTGTCATTTTGTTTTCATTCATATCAATGTGTTTTCTAATTTCCTTTATGATTTATTCTTTGAACCATTGGTTATATAGGAATGTGTTGTTCATTTCCACATATTTGCTCACTTCTGAAATTTTTTGTTGATTTCTGATTTTATTGCATTGTGATCAGAGAACATACCCAGTCCTTTTAAATTTACTGAGACTTGTTTTATGGCCTAGTCCTGGAAAATGTTCCATGTATACTTGAGAAGATGTGTATTCTGCCATTGTTGGGTAAAGTGTTCTGTGGATTAAGTTTACTTGGTTTGTACTTGATATGTACTTGGTTGTTCAAGTCTTCAATTTCCTAGTTGATTTTCTGCCTACTTGTTCTACTGAAGTTCTGTTGAAATCTTCAACTACTATTACTGAATTATCTGTTTACTCCTTTTAATTTCATCAGTTTTTGCTTCATGTATTTTGGGGCTCTGTTGTTAGGTGTATATATATTTATAATTGTTATGTCTTCATAATGGATCGAACTTTAATCATTATACAATGTCCTTCTTTGTGTCTAATAACAATTTTGTCTTAAAGTCTCTTTTACCTAGGTGACTTTTAGTTAGTTTGCATGGCATATCTTTATTCATCTGTACACTCTAAACTAGTTTGTGTCTTTGAATCTATAATGTGCCTCTTGTAGCCAGCATAGAGTTGGGTCATGTTTAAAAATCCAGTCTGCCAATCACTGCTTTTTTGATTGGAGTGTTTAATCTATTTACTTTTTAAGTATTCAATTTAATTACTGATAAAGGAGGACTTAAGTCTGCCCATTTTGCTATTTGTTCTCTTTGTTTTTTTTTCTATACCTCCATCACTGCCTTCTTTTGTGTTAAATAGATATTTTTAGTGTGCCCCTTTAATTACCAAGTTGTTTCTTTTACTTTTTTGTTGTTGTTATTTTCTTAGTAGATGTCCTGTGGATTACAGTTAACATCTTAATTTAAAGCAATCTAGTATGGATTAGTACAAATTAATTGCAATAGTGTATAAAAACTTTGTTCCTTTTTCACACTACTATTGTTTTACAAATTACATTTTTATACACTGTAAGTCCATATATAATTTTATAATTATTGCTTTATGTAGTTGTTTTTTAAATCACGTAGAAGGGGAAAAAGAGTTACAAAGGAAAAAAAAACATTTATACTGTCTTTTACATTTACCTATTTAATTACCTGTACTAGTGTTCTTGATTTCTCTGTGTGGATTCAAGTTATGGATAGTGTTTGTTCAGATTCAGCCTGAAGGACACACTTTGGTATTTCTTACAGGTCAGGCTTGCTGGCAACAAATTCTCTCAGTTTTTGTTTATCTGGGAATGTCTTAATCTCTGCTTCATTTTGAAGGATAGTTTTGCTGGATACAGATTTCTTGGTTGATAATCTTTTTCTTTCAGCACTTTGAATATTTCGTCCTATTGCCTTCTGGCTTCCATGGTTTCTAAAGAAAAATTAGCTGTTAATCTTATTGAGGATACTTGGTTTGTGATGAGTTACTTTTCTTTTGTTTTCAATATTCTTTGTCTTTGTCTCAAGGATCTGTTCACTTTTCATTCATTTTTCTTTTTTTCCTCTTAGATTTGGTAATCTCAACTGATCTATATTCAAGTTCACTGACTCTTTCTTTTGCCAGCTCAAGTCTGCTTTTCAGACCCTCTTACAAATTTTTCAGTTACTGTACTTTTCAGCTCCAGAATTTCTATTTGGCTCTTTTTTTTAAAAAATATAATAACTATCTCTTTATAAATATTCTCTATTTGGTAAGACATTGTT